TACTTTGCAAAATCAAATAGCAATTGGAAAGTAAACTTATCCCCCCCTTCCCTTCCTTCACTTCCTTCAAACTGTAGGATGTACAGGATCCTCAAGTCAAATAAGAATCATGTTTCTATTGGTTGTCATTGCCCATCAACTGCTCGCTTGCTTTCCTCCATTTGCAAGGATAATTGATATTTGACAAGATTATCTTTAGTTTCTTATCTGGGTAAGTTTCTCATCTTGTTACGTTTCATAATACTTAGGACATAATGATGTCATCGAAGTCAACCAACCACTCCACAGTGTATGAAACTACTCTCAGTCCTTACCCACCAAGCAACTCGATGGCTCCTGGGTCTCAACAGCCTCTGAGTTTCAACCACCTGCGAAACCAAGCTCCGAGCAGTCAGCCTCCCTTTATCACTTCCCCTGGAATCATCACTAACAGTCAGCAGAGTCAAGGAAATATACAAATGGTAAACCCAATTATCGGAACAAGAGCCACGAACTTTAAAGAAGAAGCAGAGACAATTGGGGTAAGTCTACTTACTACTAGAATTTTAATGTTGCATTTGTAAGGGTTTATTGTATTTATAAATTATAGGTGGAGAGAAGTTTATGATCTTGTGGCATACACCCAATCATTAAAAAGTTCTGAATGATACTCTGGAAACAGTATCCCTTCTGGGTAGAAATAATCAGTCTGCCTATCGACTTCACCCTGAGCTCATTTCATTTTAGATTCAAGCAAAAATCTAACGGGTGATAGAAGATTCTTCCCAGCAGGACAATTCAGTAACATTGACATTATGGGAATACCAGTATTTCTAGCTTGGTCTCATTTCTACAAAGGGTATTCTGGGTACCCTTAAATCCTGTCTCTGAGTTAGTTTCAAGCCTGGTATTTGTATAGAGATAACTTCACAATAATATGAACATTGATGGCTGCTTTACAAACAGAACTACAAATGGGTCATCTGGGGAAACTGGATGTGAAAGAATCAGGGGCCATTCCACCTGCCGTGCCCTTCCAGTGCCCATGAAGATGTTACGACCTAACTGCCAAGTTCTCTCCACAAGGGGCACTTTGACCCTTCATAATCCAGTCTATGGAGAGACATTGTAAATCACACCTTCCTTGCACAGGAAGACTCCACTTCCAGAGGCACAGCTGTTAGTCCCTTTGCTGTGCTTTTCACGCCATTAACACAATTCCACCAAATAGCACTGTCCCTCCCTGTATGCAGCTCTAACTTCTCTGCTAGAGCATTCAGTAAATGAGACTGAGTGCCCATTTATGTGCCAGAAACTCTTCTAGCCACCTTAGGAAAGAAAAAAATGTGCCCTGGTCCCCCTCCAACAGGCAGACCTAAGCTGGGAGGTGGCCGCTCAGATCCTCCTCCTGCAAATAGAGGACATTCCCTGCTCCCACTGAGAAAGTGGGACAAACTAGCATACGATCCAACTGACCCCTCACAGGTGCTAGGGATACCGCCAAGAACCAAACAGGCACAGTCTCCGCCCTCGTGGACCTGACAACCTACCGGGGGAAATTAGACTACATGCACAGTAAAGAACTGAAGTCCAGCATGTGTTAGAAGGTGATCAAAGATATGGAGAGAATCAAGAAGTGTCGGAGGAATAAGCAGTTCCAGGCAGTGAGGGGGTAGTGATTTCAAGCTGGCCAGAACAGGGTTTCCTTAGAAGATGACATCTGAGCAAAGCCCTGACGTGAGGGGCGAGCCATGCAGATGTCAGGGCAACAGGTTCCAGGTAAAGCCAAAGGTCTGTGGAGGAAAATGTGTGTGGCGTGTCTGAAGAACAGGGAGGAGGCGAGTAAAGCAGAACAGAATGACAGATGGAGTGGGGAGTCAGAAGGAGGGCAGAGGGGATCAGATTCTGTGCGGCCTGCAGGACAGGAGGCTTTGGCTTTTAGTCTCACGGTAGAGTCACTAGAACATTCTGCCTGGTACCAAAGAGGTGCTCAATAAAAGCGCTATAAAGTGCTGTTTTCTCTTTTTAAAAGATTCAGCTAACAGAAGCACCTTCTTCTCCCTGAAGGCTGTACGTCTGTGCTGTTAATAGCCCCTGGTCACCCAACGGTGCAGAGGCCCCTGGCAGGAGAATGTGAGTGGACCATCTGTCACAACTGACCCAGAGCTTAAAGGGAGTCTGTGGCCAAAAGTCCAGAAGGAATGAAAAGACTAACTTACTAAGTCTGGCCAACAAGCAATTCTGATCAGTACATGGTGCCTCCAGGGTCCTACTAGGCCAAAGAAAGGCCAGTTTTATTCCAGATCTAATTGCTCCTCATCAAGATGATGGCAAGGATGACGATGGAAAGCTTAGAGCCAGATGCTTGAACTGCTGCTCTAGAGAAGAGGTTGCAAAACCAAGTAATTATGTCTAATGCCAGAGTTCTTCAACTGAGACCCACAACTGGCTAAAAGCCAGGACACTTCTGAAGTTATAAGCAAGTGTAGGGTGTGTGAATGTAAGGATGTATAAGAACAGTTGTTGAGGTGAGAAGGCTCATAGGTTTTACTGGTGTCTCAACTTCATTGTCCAAAAAATATTAATCTCTCAGCATTATTTAGGAAGCTGTGTGGTCTTTTTTCTCTCTGTCTAATGCTGATTCAATTTAATTGTATGTGGTAGCGCTTTACTGAAGAAATAAACAGCAATCCTTGTATTTGCAGTCTTCCTGGATGGATAAGATGTTAACTTGGGAAGAAACAGTGTACCTTCTGGTCCAATGTAGCAACAGTTATCTCTCACAAATCTGTTTATCCAGGATGAAGGAAGAGGTACAAAGATGTATCCACTGTCTTTGAGAATGTATGGATACGCCAATAAGGAAATTTCACATACCTGCAATTAACAAATGGTGTAAATGAGCACAAAACCAAGTAATATGCTGTGTGATTTATACTGTAATATACAACAGAAATTAAGGCAGAAAAAGATAGCTTAAATTGACTGGGGTAATCAAGAAGACTTCATGGAAGAGGTGGAGCTGAGCCGAGCCTGAGGGAAGGCTGTACTGAATGGTTAAGATGTGGGCTCTGGAGTCACTCTGCTATATTAAATTCCCAGAGCTGCCCCTCAGTAAATGTGTGACTTCAGGCACTGCTATGGTCTGAATATCTGTCAAATTTGTATGTTCAAATCCTAACTCTCAGAGATGATGGTATTAGGAGGTGAGCCTTCGGGAAGTGCTTATTAGGTCATGAGGGTGGAGCCCTCGTGAATGAGATTAGTGCCTGATGAAAGAGGCTCCTGAGAGAGTCCTAGCCCTTTGCACCACATGCGGACACAGAGAGGTGTGGGCTATGAACCAGGAAGAGAGCCCTCACCAGAATCTGACTGTGCTGGCACCTTGAATTTGGACTTCCCAGCCTCCAGGACCGTGTACAACAAATTTCTTCTGTTTATAAGCCATTCAGTCTGTGGTATTTTATTACAGCAGCCTGAATAGACTAAGACCGGCACCTAATTTCTTTGTATCTCTGTCTCCATCCCATTGTTGGAAGGATTACATGTACAGTAAGTGTAAAGTGTTTAGAATATTACTAAGCCTGTAGTTAATGCCTAATATTTGTTTTTTCCTTCATTGATACTTTCCCCGTATCTGAGATTAAACAAGCAGAGAACTGGTCCGTTTGCAAAAGACAGCCATCGAAGTCACAGTTAAAGCATTTTTTCTAAGAGTCTTGGAGTCTCTCAGGGATTCTGACGCATGAGTAAGCAGTAGCACTGTCCTAAGAACTCTCCTTGGGCCACCTGCACAAGCATCCCCAAATATCTCAATCAAGGCCTTATGCCGAGTCCCTGACGCTAGTGTAGTCAAAATCTCACTGGCCCACCTCCTGTAGGGGTGCAGCTCAATGCCACCCATACATCTTGGCAGAGTTGACAATAAACAAGCAGCAGCAGCAATGACAGTCATGCTTCAGGGGTGCCTGAAGATGAAGGAGCAAATTTTTTTAATTATTATTGAAGTACAGTCAATTATAATATGTCAACTTCTCGTATACAGCACAATATTCCAGTCCTGCATATACATACGTATATATATTCGTTTTCATACTTTTTTTGAAGGAGCAGTTTTTAAGTGTCTATTTTCTTTTTCCAGGCAATCCAGATCATAATTGGATTGATGCACATTGGCTTCGGAATTACTTTGGGTCTAATGAACGTCACTTACAGAGGTGTTTGGGGTTTTGCTTCCCTTGCCTTTATCAGCGGATATCCATTCTGGGGCGGCCTCTCTGTGAGTAGACTGCTGGAACATTCTCCTGCTCAGTTCATCAAAGATAGCTGTCCCCAGTCTATGCACAACTCATCTTTTAATAAGCCCTGCATCTGATAGACTGGAGAATTTAGATAGATAGATGGATAGATAGAGGGATAGATAGAGGGATAGATAGATAGATAGATAGATAGATAGATAGATAGATAGATATCTAATTAACATCTAATAAGGGAGAGCTTTTGTTCTCTATTTTAACTTGCAGCCTGAACTCACACGATAAAGTTTACTCTGATCAAGTAATCAGCAAACCAAAGTCTTACTTTCCTATTACATTTTAGATGGAAATGCATGTGTTGGGTGGAGAGCAGCAAAAGGAGGTAATTGGGAATATGATTTAAAATAGCAATTGATCATGAGAAGAGACTGAACAGTGAGGTCAGAAATCATCAGAACAAAGAAAGGTTACAAGGGAATCAGTTCTTTATATGAAAGAAACTAAGGAGACAAAAAAGGAAGTCAAGAGGTCATAATCTCTTGAGTGTTACTCCAAAAATTGAGAAGAATGGTAAGAATTTTTGAGAGGGAAATATAAATAGACTAATATGATGATATAGAGAGAAATAATTTCCAGGAACAATCAAAGAACTCATCATTTCACAAATACATCTGTCTCTTTTTACAGTTCATTATTACTGGAGCTCTCTGCATATCAGCATGCAAGCAGCTTTCCCTTTGCCTGGTAAGTTAGAATGTTTCTACTTTTTAAACCCCTTTAAGGATTAATTTAATTTATTTGGGGAATAAAATTGAGAAGGTGGATTCAGAAAATGAGAAGGGGGGCATTTTTTTTCCCCAAAATATCTGTTGATTGCCTCTCCATGGTATGTGTGTCTTCGCATCGTCCACACGATTTGCCACTCAGGAAATGGCAGAGTTCCCCATCCCGCCTCTTTAATTCACAAGAGTGGAAATTAGTACAGATGGGGTTTCCTGAGGCTCTCTGGTTCAGTGGGGTCACATTGAGCCGGGGGAACATTGTGAGCATTGCTGGAACTCCAAGTAGAATCCAAGGGGCCCAGAAACACGTGCTTGACACTTCAGTATCAAAGATGTTGCTACTCATTGGCCCTTTCCCAGTTCTGCCTTGCCTTGGAACTTTATTTTTTTCATTTGTGTGTCTCTCCTATTGTTATTCAGATCTGACTTTTACATCATAGTTCTTGAAACCACCACTAAAAACACCCAGCTCACTACCTAAGAAGAGTTCATAAAAATAAATCACTGAGACTGGTCTTCCATTCTCCTGGCCATAGCACTCCACCTTTTGCAATTTCCTAGTCCAGTTCAGAAACGGGAGAAATAAAACGGTTTGCCAAGAGCTAGAGGCAACTAGAACAGAGGTGAATCCAGCACAGGAGGGAAGAATGGGAGAACAGGAACATAGAATTGTGTTGCTCATGCTCTCCCAGAGTAGATGAGACTAGACTAGACTAAATTCACATTAGATTAGATCAAATCAGTCTAATCTTGATTAACCACTCCTGCTGTGCTCCAAAAACAAAACAAAGCACCCTCTCTCTGCATGATTTAGGGATGCTTCCTTCTAACTAAGCTTGTCCAAGCAGAGAATCTGTCCATTGGGAGAAGACAGCTACTAAGATTATACCTAAAGCCATGTTTCCAGGAGCCTGTGGAAGACTAGGGCATGCTGAAGCAGCAGCGCATTCCAAAGAACTCCTAACAAGTCAGCGAGGGCTGGGTTTCACAATTACTCTGTTGAATTTCAAGATCTTCTTGTAGAAGCTGGGGAAACTTTTGTACTGTGCCCAGACACCTCTACCCCCAGAAGCCTAACAAAATTCCTAAATTGATCAGCAAAGATTTCGTGTGCATATACTTTTCCATCTATAAAACTGGAATGCTATACAGTACTACTGCATATGGTGGTTGTAAGAGCTCTATGTGATAATGTATTTAAATAATTTAATACAGTGACTGTGACAGAAACGTGCTCATTAAAAGTTTGTCATTTTATTGTTGTAAAAAAGGGAGTATCATTGTTATTGTACATGACCTTCTGCTTTGGCCTATTCACGTTTTTATACACATTTTAGAGACATCCTACATTTATGCTGCATGCCAAATGGCTTTCGTGGTAACTACTCAGAAGGGCAGAGGAGAAAAAAATCATTTCAATGTCCAAGTATTTTTTTCAAAGTTCAGAGAATAAGAACCATTAGATTTAATTGATTCTTATTTATCATTCACCCTATATATTATTTCTTCTTCTTGTCATCTCTATCAGATAAAAGGCAGCCTGGGAATGAATATTGTCAGTTCTGTCTTTGTCTTCATTGGGGTGATTCTGTTGCTGGTGGATGTGAGCATCAATGGGCAACCTAATCAAGACTACTGGGCAGTGGTAAGTACCCCATGGTCTGCCATTGCCTCCACTCTTCCCACTCACGTGGAGTGGGTCTGTTTTTATTTCTCATTACTGCCCAGCAGCTCTAGTAGAAACTCCCTTTTTCTATTCCAGCCCTACTCCTAGTTATGTGATCTCTAGGACTAGAGAATAAAGTGGGAGAGTTACCTCTGCAGATGGACTAGGGCAGAAGGGCATTCTTTACTGGTCCATCTCATGGTGAGTCACATGAACAACTGGGGAGACTCCTAAAGAGTGTACAGAAAGAGTGAAAAAAATTCCCTGAAATAAAATAATAATGGAATTTATAGACTGAATGGGAATAATCTGTAACAGGAGAAAGCGATGCAAAGTAAGTGAGATATAGATATTAATATTGATATATAGTGATACACATATGTATCCTCATTAAGGCACAAGGTATAGAAAAGGATTCTTTGAGATTTTAGGCAGAATAACAAAATGACTTACAAGCAGGAAAAAAAAATCAGCTTGACTCAGTCACTCCTCCAGGAACATCCAATGAGGGAAAATAATGGAGCAATGTCTAGAAAGTTTTGATGAAAAGAAAATGTGGCTCATGAATAACACCTCCAATAAAACCTTGTGAAAGTATAAAAGTAACAGGAAGATACTCTCAGTAAAAGAACAATAACACACATGGGCACTGCTGCTAAAAAAGTCGTAATGTTCAACACACACGAGGTAAAGTAAATCAAGAATTCAGAAAGGCAGGAAGAAGCTGTGTGAGGACATGAGTGAAAAGCACAAAAATCAGGAGGGGAGGTGAGGAGGGGAGCGATAAGATGAGAGACAAAGTAAGAGTGCTACTCACTCATTTTTCATAATCAACAACCATCTAAACCTGCTTAAAACTGAAACTTGTAAAATGACGTCAACTTCTTTCAGAATTTCCAAAACTTAATGTAACTTAACATCTTTTTATTCTTTTAAAATCAAGTAATGCTTTTACTTCAAAATAGGAAGTAGAAAATGATTCCATTCTTAAAGAGTAGAATTTCTCTCTTTTGCTCTCTCTTTTCTCTCCTCTCTTGCTGTCTCTCCATGCATCCATTTTTCCGTCTGCCTTTTGCCCATCGACAGAGTTCTGGAATAATAGGCCTCAAACGTTAATTTTGCTCACTTCTGGGCAGTGGTGTTTGAGATGACTGGTTGTCTTTTATATTGCTTGATTTCTTTCTTAATGAGCAGAATAATATATATTCTTTATATATATATATATATAAAGAAAGCCACTACAAAGAAAAAATAAGTCCACTTCTTTTCCAATGTTTCAAAATAAAACAGTCCACTGGAGAAAAGAAAAGTCTTCCAGCATTTTAAAGAAATTCCAAGATTAATTCACAATCCTTTGAAATAAGCATGTGATGACAGTCGAGAAATAATCCCAGAGCGAGTCGAGGATAAGCAATAGCACATCTGATGAGTCAGTAGCTTTCTGAAGCCTGAGTGAAGCCCCCCGATCAGTCAGAATTTCAGTGTGTTTATTCCTGATTTCAGCTTGCTGGGAAAGGGATTTCAGCCATGCTGATCATCTTCTCCTTCTTGGAGTTCTGCCTAACTTGTACCACAGCCTATTTTGCCAGCCAAGCAATCACCAACACCAATGGGGTGAGTTGGGCCTCTTCCCTGTAAAGCAATCTGAGTATGTGCCGGAGAAATATACACGTGCGTGTCAGCGCAGCCCCACTGTGGGTTTACCAGAGCGCACTCTGCCCTCAGCTCTGATGGAACCAGCGTGGCGGGGGTGGGGTGGGTACTGAATAGGACTGTAGTAACTATTTTCTTGCTTCCTTCTTTCTTTCCAGGCTGTCCTGGTTGTTCCAACTGTGTATACAAACAGCCCCTTGACCACAGGCTTGCCCTCGGTTCCTCCCAGAAATTACGGCCACCTAGTGCCCACCCCACCTACCACCACTGGGTATTAAAAGACAAAGAAACATCATGCATTCTCACGGGGTAAAACCACCTGCAGAAACTTCCTAAGAAGCTGGCCTCTGCCATTCACCATGACTGCTGATCTTTAGAGACTGTTTGGAGATTTGCTCTTAGTTTGTCATGAATCATAACTGGATAGATCTCCTTGTTACTGTTTTTCCTACGTGCCACCACCACGCACTGGCAAAAGTAAAGGACCAGCGTGCTGCAAATGACTCCGAACCTCTCTTAAAGTTAGAAACATGCCTGTTAATGTTACCCTTTCCTAGTGGTTACCAGTGGGGACGGGGAGGGGCAAACTACTGGGTATAAGATGGGCTCGTGGATGTATTGCACAATACAGAGAATATAGCCAATAATTTTGTAATAACTATAAATGGAAAACCACCTTTAAAAACTGTATAAAATTTTTTTTTAAATTTTTAAATAGTTAAGCCAGAAACCAAAAAAAAAGAAAAACAAATCAAAAAAAAAAAAAAAACCAAAACACAAGAATTATTTTTCCAGAATCCATACAAACAACATTTGCATTTTGTCACATCCCTCTAAAAAGCAATCAGTCACAACAGTTCCCTTTTCCCATGGAGCAGATGCTGGCCGAACATATCCTGAATTTAGGTGACTGGGAGGAAGCTCGCAGACACTTCCCAGGCATTTATTTGCAAGAGTGATTTGAATCAAGGAAAAGGTCTGGAGGAAGCTGTGAGCTCAGGTATCTGAAGCAGGAGCTGAAACACTGGGACATGGTGCCCGGTTCCCAGCCTGGCTTCCGGGACGGGTCTGCTCCCTTTGGAGAAAGAGGTACTCTCATTTGTGCATGGACTGTAGCCAGGCTCCTGTTCCGTAAGGAGGACAGAAGGAAATGCAAGGCTGCTGAAACACCCCTGGGGGGCTCAGAGCTTAGGGACTGCTGTGAGACCGCACCTGGGGCCAAGCAGCCTTTGTCCAGAAAAGCAGCTGCCAAGCTTGAGAAAACTGAGATGCAGACGGAAAGTGGGGGCCCCACACACGGTGCCGAGGCTCAGCAGAGGTCTGCTGTGCTAGAGAACGATGTGAAAACTCCCTGAAATACTCTGGAAGTGGGGATGTGCAGAGAACCGGGGTGTGCCCATGCAGGTGGGGGTGCAGGCCAGGCTAATGTGGCCGTGTTGTCTGTGTGTTCTTCTAATTCCCACAGGCTGGAGAGCACTCAGACATCAGCATTTCCCTACAACTGGCTATTTCTGCTTTTCTCCCTTCCGTTTGCAATGAAAACTAAGCCTTCCTCCCTCCAGGCTATTCTCTACAAGACAATTCATAACGTGGAAATGTTTTCTCCTCTCCTCGAACCCACCTCCTCTCCACTCCCGATAGCTGTTCACTCACTCCTCAACTGTTTACCCCATGACTCAACTCAGTTGGTGGGGATGTAGTTTGCTGCAGCCATTATGGAAACAGTATGGAGATTCCTTTAAAAACTAAAAATAGACTTACCCTATGATCCAGCAATCCCACTCCTGGGCATATATCCAGAGGAAACTCTAATTCAAAAAGATACATGCTCCCCAATGTTCATAGCACCATTTACAATAGCCAAATCAGGGAAGCAACCTAAATGTCCATTAGATGAATGGATAAAGAAATTGTGCTATGTATATACAATGGAAAACTACTCAGCCATTAAAAAAGAATAAAATAATCCCATTTGCAGCAACATGGATGGACCTGGAGACTGTCATACTAAGTAAGCCAGAAAGAGAAAGAAAAATACCATATGATATCACTTATAAGTTAAATCTTAGAAAATAACGCAAATGAACCTAATTACAAAACAGAAACAGACTCATAGACATAGAAAACAAACTTATGGTTACCAGGGGGAAAAAGGAGGGGTGGAAGGATAAATTGGGAGACCAGGATTTACAGGTACTAACTATTATATATAACATAGATAAACAACAAAGTCCTGCTGCAGAGCACAGTGACTATATTCAATACCTTGCTAAAGCCTATAATGAAAAAAATATGAAAAGGAGTATATATGTACAAGTGAATCACTATGCTGTACATGAGAAATTAACACATTATAAATTGACTATACAGCAATTAAAAAAATAAAATAAAATGTGAAGGGGAAAAAAATAAAAAATAAAAATGGATAGCTGTTTACTCAATTCCACCAGCTCAGCAGTACTCAGCTGGCTTCACTCAATCTCCTTCTCCACACGTGGGCTCTACCCTGTTTAAGTTGCACTCACAACTTTATTTTTCACAACTCTTCCCACTCCCCCAAATATTTAGCAACACTTTAAAATCTGGCAGGGAGATTGCTCAAGATGGTGGAGTAGGAGGATGTGAAACTCATCCCCCAGCATCCCCTTGCCGCCGCTGCGACAGACACATTAAAACACACCTACATGTGGAGCAGTCCTCACTGAAAACTAACTGGAAACTGACACAAAAACACTTGTACAACCAAGGCTGTAAGAAAGACACACACGTAACCGGGTAAGAAAGAAAGAGAAGCGATCAGGTCAGGACCTGTGCCCCCCAGGAGAGACTCAGAGGGAAGGGAGATTACACAGGTGGAGATTCACCTTGGGGAGTGACTGGTGCACCTTACTGGGCACCCCAGCCTGGGATCCAATACTGGGAAGAGGAGCCTCCTTGGCTGGTTGGAGGGCTGCTGGGACTAACAGGAGGGCCGTGGGAAGCCCAGACTCCGCTGTGAGGAGCACCCACATGCTGGTTAACCCCCAAGGCAAAGCAGAGAGGACAGACTGAGGACTGCTCTAGCAGATGCTCAGTTTCCCCACTCTCTCCCCAACACACCTCAGCATGAAGCAAGGGAACGCTCCAGCCCTGCTTACTCCACATCACAGCAATGCAGTGGAACTAGGGCTGGCTGCCAGGACCAAGGAGAGAGCTCAGCCAGGGATTCAGACCTGGAGCAGCACCTCAGCAAGACGAGGGCAACAACTGCTGGCACCTGCATAGGTGACACATCGGAGGCAGCTCGGACCGCTGTCTGTGGCAGACCCATCGCCACTCAGGCCCTGTCAGCAGCAGAGAGCCTATTGCTCCCACACTGCTCCACTGTGGGGCAAGGGTCTCAGTGCTGGGAGGGGAAAGCACCAACTTAAAGACAACAGAGCTGTCCCTTAGGGCTTCTGCCCCAGCAACTTGGGATCCAATCCCCCCACCCTCCACCACACAGGGCAGTGATGGCCACTAAGTAGAGGGGAACCCCACCTCACACTTGGCAACGGCTCTAGCCCCTCCATCTCCAGTCTGCCAAGACTGAATCAGGAAGAAACAGACAATACAAACAGACCTAGTAGTGAAATTGAATTTTTAATTAAAAAAAAAACTCCCAGCAAACAAAAGTCCAGGCCTGGATGGCTTCACAGGGGAATTCTATGAAACACATACTGAACAGCTAATAGCTATCCTTCTCAAACCGTTCCAGAAGACTGAAGAGGACACAACACTCCCACATTTTATGGGGCCACCATCACTCTGATACGAAAACCAGACAAAGACACTACAGAAAAATAATTACAGGCCAGTATCTTTGATAAATATAGATGCAAAAATCCTCAACAAAATATTAGCAAACCAAATCCAACAATATACAAAAAAGGGTTATATACCATGCTCAAGTGGAATGTATTCCAGTGATGCAAGGATGGTTCAACCCCTGCAAATCAACCAATGTGATACACCACATTGACAAAAGGAAGGATAAAAATCACATGATGAACAATAGGCACATGAAAAAATGCTCAATATTACCAATTATCAGAGAAATGCAAATCAAAACTACGATGAAGTATCACCTCACACCAGTCAGAATGGCCATCATTCAAAAGTCCACAAATGACAAATGCTGGAGAGGCTGTGGAGAAAAGGGAACCCTCCTACACTGCTGGTGGGAATGCAGTTTGGTACAGCCACTATGGAAAACAGTGTGGAGATTCCTCAAAAGACTAGGAATAGACTTACCATATGACCCAGGAATCCTGCTCCTGGGCATATATCCAGAAGGAACCCTACTTCAGGATGACACTTGCACCCCAATGTTCATAGCAGCACTATTTACAATAGCCAAGACATGGAAACAGCCTAAATGTCCATCAACAGATGACTGGATAAAGAATAAGTGGCATACTTATACAATGGAATACTATTCAGCCATAAAAACCAACAACATAACACCATTTGCAGCAACATAGATGCTCCTGGAGAATGTCATTCTAAGTGAAGTAGGCCAGAAAGAGAAAGAAAAATAACATATGAGATTGCTCATATGTGGAATCTAAAAAAAAAAAGAACATAAATACAAAACAGAAAAAGACTCGTAGACATAGAATACAAACTTGTGGTTGCCAAGGGGCGGGGGGGTGGGAAGAGACAGACTGGGATTTCAAAATTTGTAGATACTGACAGGCATATGCAGAATAGATAAACAAGATTATACTGTATAGCACAGGGAAATATATACAAGATCTTGTGGTAGCTCACAAGAGAAAAAAATGACAATGAATACATGTACGTTCATGTATAACTGAAAAATTGTGCTCTACACTGGAATTTGACACAACACTGTAAAATGAGTATAACTCAATAAAAAAATGTTAAAAATAAATAAATAAATAAACTATAGCAACCAAATAATTTCCTTGCTTTGCTCCCTTGTCTTCTCTTTAAAGACCTTTCCCCTAGTTCCTGTCAGCAGAGTGCTTCTAACCATTTTTGGTTTGGTGCAGTCATCTTCACACCAGTGTTTGCTCAAATTCTTCAAAATTTTAATGTACCTCAGTTTATCTTTAAACACATGTAAGGCATGTACCACTGCCTGGACATAAGAAAGAAAGAAAGAGAGAGAGGGAGGAAGGAAGGAAGAAAGAAAATTTTTAAACTACAGTTGGCCCTTGAATAACACTGAACTGCATGAGTCCATTTATACACAATCCAACACTACATAATCCATGGTTGGTTGAATCCACAGATGCCAAACCATGGATATCGAGGGCTGACTGTAAAGTTATACGTGGATTTTTTACTGCATGAGGGTCAATTGTGTTCATTAGCATCTTATTAAATAATCGCTAAGTAATAACGCTGACTATATAAAACTGAAATCTACTATATATGTGTATATATGTGTGCATGTATGTGTATACATATACATACACATTTACTTTATATAAATATTTATACATATTGCGCTTCTACAATAAACCCAATTGCTTAGTTTCCCCAGGGTTTCCTGTCTTTTGTGTCCTGAGAACCAATTTGAGGGAAATTAACATAATCTACATGGACAAAACTTAAGATGACAAAGAGTAAAAGTTAAGTCAAACTAGATGTCAAACCATAACTACTTGTCTCTTTATTTTTGAAGGATGTAGGGTTATTGAGGATCAAAGGGAAAAAACTAAAAATAAATGAATTCTGAATTTCCAAATCCAGGTTATAGGGACAGAGAAAAGCAAGGTTGGTTTACTGATCTGTGATATTACCAGAGAATGTCCTGTCTTTCAGTTTGACTGACTCATCTATTCTCACCTATGTTCCTACTGAATACATGTGAATGGCTATGTATTCATATTCACAGAACAAAAATGAATCCATATTTGGGCCCAATTCAAGAAAATAGTCAAAGTAAAGATAATTTCCAGAGACTGTTGGCTAAACCTTACATATATATTTAAGAAAAAGATGTATCACTTCTCTCACAATCAATCAACCATGGCAGCAAGTTACAATAGGGCACCATCTTATCAGAACTGACTCTTATTTCTACTAAATCTGTAATCTTAAGGTTAAAGGTACATTCAAGTAAGTTTCTGTTTCTTTAGCATGTGAACTACTTAATATTGTC